GAATAATTTTGGAGAGGAGAGAGGTTATGTGGAGCCTCAAAGGCTGAGAATATCTACAATTTTGAGAAACTTCCTACATTCCATGATCACTTCCTGTCTCTCATGGGGATTTTATTGAAGAGGGGCATAGTCAACACAAGTTAAAAGCCTAGTTTATTTTGATAGACTCAGTGTCTATTTTGAAAAGCTGAAAAGATAAAATTTGTTTACACTTCAAAACAACAGTGTTAAAACTAATATACAGCACATGGACAGAAACCTTAATGAAAATTATGATTTTGGGGGCACCTGGGTGGCTCAGTTAGTTAAGCGGCTGCCTTTGACTCAGGTCATGATCCCAGGGTCCTGGGATCCAGCCCCGTGTTGGGATCCCTTCTTCTCACTCTCCCTCTGCTGCTCCCCCTGCTTGTGCACTCTCTCTGTCAAATAAATAAAATATTTTTAAAAATATGATTTTTCAAATTCCTTTTTTATTCTTGTACTCCTAATTAATTCAAAAAATTTGAGAAAAGTGTATGAACTTTTTCTTCCATATATGTAATTTTCTATTATATCTCACTTCAGTATGTTCACATATTTTATGTCAGAGACTATGTGCGAATTGGCTTTATATATAAAAATATATATTTACATATACATATATTTATAATTATACACCCACACTTTCTCATTGAAATGACACAATGTCTGAGCCAGGAATAAGTCAATGAATGTGTAAGTGTCTAGAGACTGGAAAACATATAGTCCATGCTGCTTAACCAACAATGGCTTAAAAGTCCCCACATCATAAAATTAAAAAGATGGAATTCTTGATCATGCCACATATCATCTTTGAACTTGCATCTCTTCAGAAGCAGCTAATGATACTTCTCTTGCTGTAAACATCAGCAGTCTGTGACATGTGAAAAAAGGACATGGAAGGACAGTCAATATAACAACAACAATATATGGTATATACCATTTCTTATTTATCCATTCATGTGTTGATGGACATCTGGACTCTGCTTATTTTGGCTATTGTGGACATTGCTACTATAAACATTGTGATGCATATGCGACTTTCAATCACTTTGTATCTGTTGACATTCATATTTATAGCTGAATAATATTCTATTGTATCTATACACCACTTCTGTATCCGTTCATCAATCGATGGACATTTGGGCTGCTTCCATATCTTGGCAATTATAAATAATGATGTCGTAAACAAAGGGGTACATGTATCCCTTTAAATTAGTATTTTTGTATCCTTTGAGTAAATACCTAGTGGTGCAATTGCTGGATCATAGAGTAGTTCTGTTTTTCACTTTCTGAAGAACCTCTATATTGTTTTCCAGAGTGACGACCCCAGTTTGCATTCCTACCAATACTACATTAGGGATTCTTTTTCCTCCACAGCCTCGCCAACAATTTATACTTCTTGTGTTATTGATTTTAGCCATTCTGACAGGTATGAGGTAACATCTCATTGTAGTGTTGATTGGCATTTCCCTGATGATGAGTGATGTTTTTATTCATTTTTTTTTAGTTCAAGTTCAATGAACATTTAGCATTATATTAGGTTCAGCAACTGTTTTCTCAAGGCCCTTAATTTTCTGCTAACAGTTTGAGTTTTGTTTTGTTTTGCTTTTGGCTTATTGGTTTGTTTTTGAATTCTGACTGCAAACTGATCCTATGAAAAAAACGACAGAATTTTAGTATTAGTTTTGGGTCCATGCCTCTTCCAGGAATGAAAATATGCTGTAGTTAATATTGTTGCATAGCAAGAAGTGCAAATGGCAGTGGTTTAAAATAACAATACTAAGTTATTTTCCTCATAAATCTTGTTAGGCAAAATTTGACAGACACCTCATTTTTGTGTCAGTTGGGGCATCTCAAGTGGGATCTGGAGATTCATCTCCAAGATAACTTATATATACTTTATATATAAATATAAATGCATATATATACATCTATAACAACTTATCAGCATAAACTGTTTCATGGACTCATATATCCCAATATGTGAGTAATTCAGCTACACTACCACAAATAATTTTCAAATGATTGCAGCCTAAAGCATATCATTTTACATAGCCTGGAATAGGGTATCTATTTTTACATTGTATTCTTTTAGAATGAATTATGTTTGAGACTGATGTGTGCTCTCATAGTTGGCATATCATTCTCCAGTAATTTAATTTGTTAATTTTAATTGAGAGAATGATGATGGAACAAAGAATTTTATTCTAACATTTCAGTTTCAAGGACCTGGCATTCTCTTTGGGACAAAATCTTGTACTTATCAATATGGAACAGCATTTTTTTTTTAAAAACCTTGAATATATATAGATATGTTCTTTTGTTTGAGATGATGTGAGATAATTACAGAAATAGACTCAGTAGTTCATTCAGATGTTAAAATTCATATTTTAAGAATTTTGGCAAGAGACCATTTAAATTTGATATTCTTCATTTTAAATGTGCCACTTCCTTAGAATCAAAATATGTAGGGTATAGGTCCTTCTTTTTAAAAATTTTTTTGTATCCTGCCACATTACTGAATTGCTGGATGAGTTCTAGTAATTTGGGGGTGGAGTCTTCTGGGTTTTCCACATAAAGTATCATGTCATCTGGGAAAAAGAGAGTTTGACTTCTTCTTTGCCAATTTGAATACCTTTTATTTCTTTTTGTTGTCTGATTGCTGTTGCCAGGACTTCTAGTACTATGTTGAACAGCAGTGGTGAGAGTGGGCACCCTTGATGTGTTCTTGATCTTAAGGGAAAGGCTCTCAGCTTTTCCCCATTGAGGATGATATTCGCTGTGGGTTTTTCATAGATGGATTTTATGAACTTGAGGAATGTTCCCTCTTTCCCTATACTCTGAAGAAAGGGGAACCCTCTCACACTGTTGGTGGGAATGCAAGTTGGTACAGCCACTTTGGAAAACAGTGTGGAGGTGCCTCAAAAATTTAAAACTAGAGCTACCCTATGACCCAGCAATTGCACTAGTGGGTATTTACCCCAAAGACACAGATGTAGTGAAAAGAAGGGCCATATGTACCCCAATGTTCATAGCAGCAATGTCCGCAATAGCCAAACTGTGGAAAGAGCCGAGATGCCCTTCAACAGATGAATGAATAAAGAAGATGTGGTCCATATATACAATGGAATATTACTCAGCCATCAGAAAGGATGAATACCCAACTTTTACATCAACATGGATGGGACTGGAGGAGATTATGCTAAGTGAAATAAGTCAAGCAGAGAAAGTCAATTATCATATGGTTTCACTTATTTGTGGAAGATAAGGAATAGCATGGAGGACATTAGGAGAAGGAAGGGAAAAATGAAGGGGGTGAAATCAGAGGGAGAGTTGAACCATTAGAGACTATGGACTCTGAGAAACAAACCGAGGGTTTTAGAGGGGAAGGGGGTGGGGGGATGGGTTAGCCCGGTGATGGGTATCAAGGAGGGCATGTACTTCATGGAGCACTGGGTGTTATACGAAAACAGTGAATTGTGGATCACCACAACAAAAACTAATGATGTAATGTATGGTGACTAACATAATAAAATAAAATTTAAAAAAAAGACAAAATTTTTTTTTTGGAAAATTAACTATCCTAAAACTTGCAACTCAACAGTTGCAGAAAGATTATAAGACTTCTCCCAAGCCATTAGATTTATGTCCCTTATTGAAATACAAAGATGAAACCTTCAACCCTAGGGCTTTCATTGGGAACAAAGATGATTTCTTATATATAAGTCAATAGAAAATATTTATTTTAATCTGTGGGAAAAGGGACTTTTTTATCTTAATTACTATTATGAATAAATCTATTGTCTGTGTTGATTTATGTGGTTAATTCTATCATGTGTGAATTATTTTTTAATTAGTGTTACTTATTTTCAGAGAGAGATGTTCACTTCCACTCTTCATGATTATTGTATGTTTTTTTAATTAAGTTGTATGTCCATTATGGGTCTTGAACTCATGACCTTGAGATCAACAGTCATATATTTTACTGATTATGCCAGCCAGTGATTGCTACATATTTAAATGTACACAGGTCAATCTACTTACCTTGTACATAATGATTTTTAACTCACATATACCCTCAGAAAATCCTCTTCTAGCAAAAATTATGACAATATTTCCTACAAGATTTTTATATATTTTTCATATTCATTTAACTTTATTTGAAATTTATTATATCAAAATTATATGAAACTGAGATGTACATTGCTTTTTTCAAATAAATTATTCACTCTTTAAATAATCCATCCTCAAAATTGCACACACACACACAGAGTTGGAGTTGTTGACACAAAATGAACAAACTTTTAAAATCTCTAAAAGAAAGGTTTTTTTTTTAGCTTTTGTTCTGTTTTTGGTTTTGTTTTTCCAGTCCAGGTTAGGACAACTGCCTGGGATACAGTCTTTACTAAGGACATAAAACATGAAATGTTCACATCATTAGGTGAAAGGTATTTCAGAAAGTTATAGACCTTATCTTAGGACTGTAAACTTAGGACTTAGTTTATCTGCAGGGCTGTCTGACTTCAGTCTCATGGGACCAGGGAGGTTCTACACTTAGCCATATGCTTGGAATATGCTCCATTTTAGGTTATTTATAAATGAATCAGATGTACAATTGGTGCCAAGGTCAGAAATTGAATTTGCTGACTCTGGTAATGGTTAAAGTTTGGTTTCCTTGAGATCCAATGAGCAGGGCCCATGCACATTAAAAGTTGAAAATCTTTATTTTATCAATGTCTAGCATATCTTTTACTTACAGTGCCTCAGCCATTTACTCTTATTGCTGAGGTCCAAAGTCCAGAACAAAAATACTATAAGGATGTATGAAAGCAGGACAAATGTAAATTTTAATGTACTAAATATAAAGTAAATATATTTTTCAATAGTGAAAACTGGCCAAGTGAGAACAAAATATATTGATATAACAAATTTCATAATGGATCCCGTTTGGCTGCTGCCAGTTTATCCAATTCCTCTCACTATAGACGTCCCAGAAAATGTTTCTCTAGCCATTGTCTCAAAGCCCCCTTGACGTCTTCGTTCCTCACACTGTAGATAAGGGGGTTCAACACAGGTGTGAAGATGGTGTAAGAAGCAGAGACCACCTTGTCATGGGCCACTGAGCGGTAGGATTTGGGCCGCACATAGATGAGTAGGAGAGTGCCACAGAAGAGCCCCACCACAGCCAGGTGAGAGGAGCAGGTGACAAACGCTTTCTTCTGAGCTGCAGTGGACCGCATGCGGAGCCCAGCAGCCAAGATGAGACTGTAGGAAGCCAAAAGGAGAGACAGAGGGATCAAGAGCATCAGGAGGCAGCACACATACGTGAAAAACTTAAAAAAGGTAGCGTGGGCACAGGCAAGGTGCGTGAGTGTGGGTGCCTCACGAAAGAAGTGGGTGATTTCTCGAGAATGGCAGTAAGGGAAGCTCAGAGTGGCACCAGGCTGCATCAGCCCATCCACCCCTCCCGGAAGCCAGGAGCCTGTGTTCACGTGCAAGCAGAGCTTCTGATTCATGAGGATGGGGTAGCGCAGGGGGTGACGTATGGCCACATAGCGGTCATAGGCCATGGCCGCTAAGAGGAAGCACTCACCCTCTCCCAGCATGGGAAACAGTAAACTCCGGGCTCCACAGCCAGCAGGAGAGATGGACCTGGTGCCCAGCAGGTAGTTGGTTGCCATTTGGGGGACTATGGTGGAAACCAGCATCATGTCCATGAGGGAGAGCTGGCTAAGCAGGAAGTACATGGGTGTGTGCCGCTGGGGTCCTCATGGTTGAGCACAATCATGAGGGCATTGCCCATCAGGAGATGAGGAAGAGCATGAGCACCATTGAAAAGAGGAACAGATGGGTCTGAGTGCAGTTAAAGACCCCTAAAAGAATGAAGTATACTGTGTGGTGTCATTTGCATCTTCCATGGCTCAGTTCATGCCTGGAAGGCAAGGAATTATAAGGAGTCAGAGTTGTTTGAAAGGAAGGTTAGGCATTTATTTAAGAAGATGTGGTCAAACGACAGAAAAAAATGAGACTTGGAGGAATAATTATGTCTTTAATCTTTCACTTCATGACAAGATGTTTGCCTTAGCATCCTATCATACATCTCTGTTATTATTATACAATATTTTTTAATCCAAATAAATTGCATAACAAGTATATCTTGTAGTACACATCACACTTCTGTTATTTCTGTATATCTTGTTAGTATGCCACACATAATTTACTCACGGTGTTAGGAAATATTATGCCTTCCCAGTTTTCTAAAATTTGTGTACTTCTGTGTTGAAAGAGCCTCATAGTCATGCCTTTTAGTTAATATTAAAGTGATATATCTCTTAATTATGGCTATGGCTTTTTCATGTTTCTCATATGTTTAAGTTAATGTCTCAAGATTTTCTTTGATGTCGTGAGAAATTGTTTTAGCTTAAAAAGTACAGAAAAATAAATATAAAACTACTATAACTCAGTTTTCAGGTGAGAGACACAAAATGGCTATATTTCTCTATTTTACATGTGTGTTTAGTACATGGTTTCAATATGCCAGGCTTCCAGCTACCACAGATATTGCAACAAAGCACCTACCACCATATTGGTCATATTATCATTGTGTTTACGCACGATTAGAGGGAACTTACCTCAGTGTAGAGACCTTGCAACAGTTAATTTTTATACCTAGTATGTACTCGCAAAATGCTGAATTTGATTAAACGTGTGCATGACAAAAAGTCAATTTCATAAATGTTTATAACACTAAGGAACATAAAAAATGGTTTTACTTATTTGAATTTTGTTACCAGTAATCATACATCCTCAAAGGTAGGAGGTAGATTAATTTATTAACTGATTAAGTTATTAATTATAAAATTAATCACATTTTAATTAACTGGTAATTTGACTAATTATCTAACTGGTTTATTAAGACCTGCTTAAATCAAGTTATGTCCAACTTACTCTGAAATATAGCATTACCTGCAAATAAAACATGGAGAATCTCCTTTATTTTCAGAGATTATTTATATATTCCCTAAAGCCTCAGGCTTTCATTTTTCTTATCTGTAAGTATCTATGGTAGTAGAATTAGATGTATATGCAAATGATTTCTTTTTTATATTTATGTAACATTTGTATTTCCCTTACAAATTCACTCTATCAAAAACTAAAATAGATTAATGATTACCAAGATTTTAGGATTGGAATTTATTCATAATCTATAAGATAGCAAATCCTTATTTACTATTTATGTAAATTAATTGGTAAGCAGTGAAAAATTTTAAATGTGCAAAACCTTTCATAAATATTACATTGTTTTAAGTATCTAGCATATATGAGCAATACCCAGAGTATCATTAAATGATACAGATATTCTGTGCATCAAAATAGCTATAAATAAGACACAATAATGAGCATATCACAATCATGGTTTAATTCAATAATATATATATGGCATATGTATATAGTTTTTTATTCTATTTATTTATTTTTATTTTTTAAAAGATTTTATTTATTTATTTGACAGAGAGAGAGTTAGTGAGAGCAGGAACACAAGCAGTGGGAGTGGGAGAGGGAGAAGCAGGCTTCCCACAGAGCAAATAAATAAATAAGTAAAATCTTTTTTAAAAACTACATATAGTGGCACCTGGGTGGCTCAGTCATTAGGCTCAGGTCATGATCCCGGGGTCCTGGAATCGAGTCCCACATCGGGCTCCCTGCTCGGCGGGGAGCCTGCTTCTCCCTCTCCCACTCCCACTGCTGGTGTTCCCTCTCTCGCTGTATCTCTCTGTCAAATAAATAAAATATTTTAAAAAAATAAAATACTAAAATTTCTGTTACATCAATTTTGAATTGAAGTTTATATTTTATATTGCATGTATTTGAGATACTTCTATGTTATTATCCACTTAAAATCAATGGGCAGCTCTATTTTTAATTCTTTGAGGAACCTCCATACTGTTTTCCAGAGTGGCTGCACCAGCTTGCATTCCCACCAACAGTGTAGGAGGGTTCTCCTTTCTCCACATCCCCGCCAACATCTGTCCTTTCCTGACTTGTTAATTTTAGCCATTCTGAGTGGTGTGAGGTGGGATCTCATTGAGGTTTTGATTTGGATTTCCCTGATGCCGAGCGATATTGAGCACTTTTCCATTTGTCTGTTGGCCATTTGGATGTCTTCTTTGGAAAAATGTCTGTTCCTGTCTTCTGCCCATTTCTGGATTGGATTCTTTGTTCTTTGGGTGTTGAGTTTGATAAGTTCCTTATACATTTTGGATATTAGCCCTTTATCTGATATGTCATTTGCAAATATCTTCTCCCATTCTGTCGGTTGTCTTTTGGTTTTGTTGACTGTTTCTTTTGCTGTACAAAAGCTTTTTATCTTGATGAAGTTCCAATAGTTCATTTTTACCCTTGCTTCCCTTCCTTTAGCGATGTTTCTAGGAAGAAGTTGCTGTGGCTGAGGTCGAAGAGGTTGCTGCCTATGTCCTTCTTTAGGATTTTGATGGACTCCTGTCTCACATTGAGGCCTTTCAACCATTTGGAGTCTATTTTTGTGTGTGGTGTAAGAAAATGGTCCAGTTTCATTTTTCTGCATGTGGCTATCCAATTTTGCTAACACCATTTGTTGAAGAGACTGTCTTTTTTCCATTGGACATTCTTTCCTGCTTTGTCAAAGATTAGTTGACCATAGAGTTGAGGGTCCATTTCTGGGCACTCTATTCTGTTCCATTGATCTATGTGTCTGTTTTTCTGCCAGTATCATACTGTCTTGATGATGACAGCTTTGTAATAGAGCTGGAAGTCCGGAATTGTGATGCTGCCAGCTTTGCTTTTCTTTTTCAACATTCCTCTGGCTATGCGTGGTCTTTTCTGGTTCCATACAAATTTTAGGATTATTTGTTCCATTTCTTTGAAAAAAGTGGATGGTATTTTCATGGGGATTGCATTGAATGTGTAGATTGCTCTAGGTAGTATTGACATCTTCACAATATTTGTTCTTCCAATCCATGAGCATGGAACATTTTTCCATTTCTTTGTGTCTTCCTCAATTTCTTTCATGAGTATTTTAGAGTTTTCTGAGGACAGATCCTTTGCCTCTTTGGTTAGATTTATTCCTAGGTATCTTATGGTTTTGGGTGCAGTCGTAAATGGGATCAACTCCTTAATTTCTCTTTCTTCTGTCTCGTTGTTGGTGTATAGGAATGCCACTGATTTCTGTGCATTGATTTTACATCCTGCCACTTTACTGAATTCCTGTATGAGTTCTAGCAGTTTTGGGGTGGAGTCTTTGGGATTTTCCACATAAACTATCATATCATCTGCAAAGAGTGAGAGTTTGACTTCTTCTTTGCCGATTTGGATGCCTTTGATTTCTTTTTGTTGTCTGATTGCTGTGGCTAGGACTTCTAATACTATGTTGAATAGCAGTGGTGAGAGTGGACATCCCAGCTGTGTTCCTGACCTTAGGGGGAAAGCTCTCACTTTTTCCCCATTGAGAATGATATTCACTGTGGGTTTTTCTTAGATGGCTTTTATGATATTGAGGTATGTACCCTCGATCCCTATACTCTGAAGAGTTTTGATCAAGAAAGGATGCTGTACTGCATCAAATGCTGTTTCTGCAACTATTGAGAGGATCATATCGTTCTTGTTCTTTCTTTTATTAATGTATTGTAGCACATTGATTGATTGCAGATGTTGAGCCAACCTTGCATCCCAGGGATAAATCCCACTTGGTCACGGTGAATAATCTTTTTAATGTACTGTTGTATCCTATTGGCTAGTATTTTGCTGTGAATTTTTGCGTCCATGTTCATCAAGGGTATAGGTCAGTAATTCTCCTTTTTGATGGGGTCTTTGTCTGGTTTGGGAATCAAGGTAATGGTGGCCTCATAAAACGAGTTTGGAAGTTTTCTTTCCATTTCTATTTTTTAGAACACTTTCAGAAGAATAGGTTTTAATTCTTCTTTAAATGTTTGGTACAATTCCCCTGGGAAGCCATCTGGCCCTGGGCTTTTGTTTGTTGGGAGATTTTTGATGACTGCTTTAATTTCCTTAGGGGTTATAGGTCTGTTCGTGTTTTCTGTTCCTTCTTGGTTCAGTTTTGGTAGTTGATACATCTCTAGGGATGCATCCATTTCTTCCAGGTTATCTAATTTGCTGGAATAGGGTTGCTCATAATATGTTCTTACAATTCCTTGTATTTCTTTGGTGTTGGTTTTGATCTCTCCTCTTTTATTCATGATTTTGTTGATTTGGGTCATTTGCAGGTCTCCTACACCTCTGCCATCTTGCTTCCTACCCTTGAACAATAACTTTTTGATTTGTTTTTGTTTTAATCCCCCTGGTTGCAGATGGCAAAAATACTTTGCTGTGGTAATACTTAAGGGGAAGTTTAGCATAGTGATCATGATGGCAGATATCTCTCAGGAAGGAGAAAATCATTTAGAACAGAAGAGGGGTACAAGAGAATTCATTGTATTGATATTTGTATATATCTTAATCATGTTTACAAGTAGTCTTTTGAAATTACTAAAAAATACAGTTAAAAAAAAATAAAAGAACTATCACTGTTGGTGAAAAACTTTGCCATGACTCCAGCTAAAAGCAATACATAAAGAGGAACAATTTAGGTATTGGAGAGACATTGGTGGTATGATATTCTCCCAAAATTAATGTGTGGGAACACCTTTAATACACAATCACATGAGCTGGGTGGGTAGACTTTCTCATTATTCTTGCAGTATTCAGCACCTGTCCAGGAATATTCTGGATGAAATGACAACTAATTAAGTGTTGAGATCATTGCTCTTGCTTTTAATCTAGTCCTCACAGCTCTGCAAAAATTAAAAGCTGCTGTAGATATGGAACTCTTTGGAACTGCCCACAGGAAAGGAAAGGA